GGGTTAGGGAAGGGGCAACGGGACTGACCGGGCGGGGCGGCCAGGCGCAGCAGGCGCTTGCCACACGTCAGGCCCTGCGGCTTCACAGCCCCTTGTACCCCGCAGGACAAGTCCCGGGCGCGTCCCAGCGCCGGCCACCAACGCTCGCCCGCGTCCCATTCCTGGTGGGCCCGTGCGAAGGAGCGGCGCCCGCGCACCGCAGGCACGTGGTAGGTTTTGCCCTGCGACGTCGTCACGCTGAAGGGCTGCTTGGCGTAGCGCATCACCAGCAGCAGCGGCGGGTGGATGCGCAGCGCCTCCGTAATGTTGCGGTGCAGCACGTCCATCTCCCCCAGCACGTCCATGGACAGGTCGTCCCCGTGGCGCGCCATGATGGCCTGCTGCTCGCGCACAGCCGCCGCAAACGCGGTGTGCTGCGGAGTGTGTGTGTGTGTGTGTGCGCGCGTGTTGGGTGTGTGTGCGTGTGTGCGCACGTGTGTGTGCACGCAAGCGCGCGCGTTTGTGTGTGTGTGTGTGTGTGTGTGTGTGTGTGTGTGTGCGCGCGTGTGTGGTGGGGTGCGTTTCGGCCAGGGGCATGTCAGTGGTCCAGAGCAGGGTGACACACCTGTGAAGTTCGCAGGCAGGCAGGCAGGCTGAGAGCTCCAGTCAATCACTGTTCAGCAATTGGACATGCAAACACGCACACCCTCCGCGCACCTGTATGTGCACGCTTACACACACATACACACACTCACATACATACACGCACACACACACACACACACACACGCCCTCTCTCCCCAAAACACACACACACACACGCGCGCGCGCGCGTCCACATATGCACATCCACAATGCAAGCGCATTCACACCACACAAAACTCTTTTTCCCCCACACGCACGCGTGCACACGCGCAGGCAGCCCCCACCTTCGAGTCAATCATGAAGAGGCCTGTCCAAGAGGACGTGATGCTGCTGGTGTGCTGCCCCGCAAACAGCACCGCGATCAGCAGGCCAGTGATCTCCTCCTCAGTCAGCTGGCGGCCGCCCTCCACGTTCTGCGCGGACATCGTTCGCATCATTCACAAGCAGCAACGTGTTTGGCAGCGGCGGCAGGGGCCGTCGGGGGTCTGAAAGAGTCAGCCGCCACTGCCGAGGCAGTCGGGCCGCGGGCGCCTTGCGCAGGGCGACCCGGCGCACACAGCCCCCACGGCCGATTTCAGGCTGGCCGGCGGGCTGCGGGCGTCGGACTTGAGTCCCAGCGGCCGGCCGGCAGGCCGTGGGGTTCGGATGAGACGCCGGCCGGCCGGCCAGCCGTTCAGGCGCCTCCGGCCTGCACAGGCCTGGAAAGCCGTTCACTGGCACGGCCCGAGCCTCCACGCCCGCGTGCCGAACCGCCCAGCTGCGCCCGCACCAGCGCCCGCCCCCGCGCCTGTGTCCGCGCGTGCGCAACCCACCTGGTAGCGCGCGTCGCAGAATTGCTGCAGCACGTCCTCCTCCTTGTGGGGGCTGGCGCGGCGCGCCTGGATGACCTTGGCGAAGATCTTGCCCATCTCCACGCGCGCCCTGGGACGACGCGAGCAGGGCGTTTGCAGTTTCGTGAGAGGGGTCGGGCGCGCGCGGCCAGACGAGGAGGCGCAGGTCTCTGGCGAGCTCCCGGGCTGCCCGTGCCGCCGCCGAGTGTCGCTCGTTTCGACACGAGACCCCGCCCCTGCCCTCGCCATGCGTCGCGCCGCCCAGCGGCCCTGCTCGCAGTCCAAGCTGCGGCGGGTGCGGCGCGGCCTCGGCGGCGGCGGCGTCGGCGGCGGCGCTCACTCGTCGCGCTTCTTGTGGAATGAGGTGGGCAGGTAGGGGAAGAACACGCTGATGGGGCGCATGCCGTCATCCAGATCATGCAGCAGGTCAGCCACCTGGGGAAGGAGGGGGGGGGGCGCCGTATGGAGGAGTGGCGGAGCGCGTGAACTTGCTTGCAGGTGCGTGCGCGTGTGAATGTGGGTGGGGGCAGGACGTCAACGCTGTCACGTGCGAAGCGGGCACGCCCCACCCGCGCCGCCAGCCGGACAATCTCCTGCCGCCCCACCCCTCCCTCCCCGCGCCGGCCGGCCATGCAGGCAAGCCAGCCGGCTGCAATTGACGGCACAACACGCGCGGCGACCCGGCCCCTCGGCGCGGCGGCGGCGGAGAGGGGCCCAGCCGAGCCCAACCTGGTCGAACAGCTGCTCGCGGATCTCCCGGCCCAGCAGGGTGCGCGCCGCCGTGAGCGCGACCAGCGTGCCAAACTCCTTCTTCAGGTCGACCACCCCAGAGTCGCCCCAGCGGGCAAAGTAGGCCTGGCGGCGCC